GTGTAATTTTAAAAAATTTCTTACCCAGACCCCCCCCTTCGCGTGCTCGCAACTATGGGGTACGGTTAGACACCCCCTGGTACAAATCCTGTACACGCCCCTGCCGAGCAAATTGCCAACATTGAAAAACGAACCCCCCCCCAATAGAAAGCTGGCTACGGGCCTGAAGAGTCCATGATAGAAATTAGCTAAAAATCATGACAAATACTATTACAGATTAAACAATATTTTGTTATTTGCTAATATTTGTTTATTAAGTTTAATCTGTTTTTTGAAATGTTTTGTTTTTACATTTTGATGGATGAGGACATGGGCTATACATGTTTGTTTTTCATCGCATGCGCTGGCTCCAGCAGTTCATGCGCATGCGATATGGTGTCAGTGTACGACGTACGTACATGTACGTGTACCTTGAAAATCAGCGAAAGTAGGCCTATAGCTAAAGTAAAGTTACGGTACGGCCGTATGTGGTCGTAGTCAAGTTAACGTTGACAGGTACGTGCGCGCGCGGGCAACTACGGCGAGTTGCGTGATCAGGATTCCAGTCTATTTCCAGAGTCGTGTCATCTGCAGTCATTGCATCTTATTTGAATCAATTTTATTGATATTCATTAATTGACTGATAGTGATACTGTGGCTGTCATGGCAGAATCTGACGATCCTGGACCGTATGTAGTGCAGACAGCAGTGCATTGATTGCTTGAGTAGTTTCGGACCTATTGTTAGTGTGTTAGGGGCAAGTCTTGTGTGGTCCCTTGACATGCATAGAGCAGGGCCTGTGGAACGGGGGGCTAAGGGGGCTCGAGCACCCCCACTTTTTGACGCCACATAAAATTAAATGAGAGAGAGTGAGGAGAAAAAAGAGAGACAGAGAGAGTGAGGAGAGCACTGATTATTACGTCTCCCGTTTTAATTAATGCTAGAGCTTCCGCGCTTCGCGTGAACCCACCCCCTTTGCACGCTTCGCGTACACGTCAACAGTATTTTGACATATATAGCCTACCAATTAATTATTGTCAAGTATAATAATCGCGCGTCTGTACGAAACGGCATGGGTTAAATTATGTAATTGCGTGGCAAAGCAGGTTACAAACCTTTTGCAGATTTTTTTTTACAATTCCAAGAAAGAGTTTTGCTGTCGCCCTCATCCCAGCGGTGGTCACCCCTACATATCCAATAATGATCGCGACCTAAACAATGCCCCCCCCTCCCGTATCCGTATATCAATCAATGCCGCGCTGCAAGCGCAAGAATTGTTCTACTAAAAAGAGAATTGTCGTAGTCAGAATGAAGCCTGTACCTGTACTCAAAAGTGCCTCAAATACCTTCTCCTGCGATCTACATTTTCACAATTTTCTGGCGGAGGACCCCCATACCCCCGCCTGTTTCTCACCACCCCACCCTCATAGAAATCCTGCATCGGCTAGTGTGGAGCGTAACAAATTGAGCACCCCCACTTCAAAAATCGTTCGGCGGCGCGTATAGAGAGAGTACTGCTAACAAAGATTAGGAATATTTGTATGCATGTCAAAACTAAAATTTGAGTTCATCAGGTGGTCGGTCAAGACACTTGGCCAACAATTGAAATAGAACAAGAACAGTCAAAAACAAAACAAGAATGCAGTTAGTACTAAGTAGTTAAGAAAATTATCTAAAGTGAACTAAACAAACTACATGCAAGAGTGGGGATCTGACATTTCATAAAATGGCTCTTGGTAAAAATGGTCACCTGCCACTCTGAGTAAGTGACTCGAGATGACTTGTTGAAGT